GACCAAGATGGACCCCAATGATCAGGTGACTGTTAGAGCTGAGTAAGATCTGATAGAATAGGATGTACAGGGGGCCTTATATCTGAGCTCCTTAGCTCTATAGAATTTGCAGTAGATGGTGCATATGGTTCCAAAACCACCCCTCACATTGTAGTCCCTGAGATCGGGGTATGCTCATGACTATCCTGCTGCTTGCTGTGGGATTTTGAGATGTAAGTGGTCACTGGAAGCCATATACTCCTTTCTTGACCAGTGTGATGCCAGCTGTCAAACTGGTTACTCCACCTCTATGGAGGGCACAGCATCTGATCCATTTCTTTGCAGTATACAAGGAAACTGGGCACTTTTAAGTATCTGTTACTCAGTTCTTAGATGCATTGTAGTCTTTAGTGAGAAATGCCTTAGCATTATCTGAAAGCCTAGAAATTGCCAACAAATACTTTGCCTTACTCCAGTGTACTGAAACTTCCAATTTTGAAATGGATTGCCTCTTGTGTAGTGTAAATGACCTCTGGCATTCTTCTGTATTTCATTGTGTGAGCTCTGAAAGGAGCGGTAGTTCTGTGCATTATGTGAAAATACTGCCCCAGTGATTGATCACGTTGGCATTTCCCTGCCTTCTGTCTTTCAGGCACAGAGAGACATCATATTTGAGTTGAGAAGAATTGCATTCGATGCAGAGTCCGACAGCAACAACGTCCCTGGCAGTGGAACAGAGAAACGCAAAGCCATGTACACCAAGGACTACAAGATGCTGGGATTCACTGTAGGCATCTAGAGAGAGGGCTGACTCTAAACCATGTGAAGGCAATGTAAACAATCTCCATTGGAGTTGTGGGGAAATAAGGAACAGAAATAGCTGTTTGCTTTACCAAACTTCTGCATCTGAATTTAGAAATTCAGCTACACTCAAAGTCCCAGGGAAGTCTTATGAACTTACCAATTAGTTAAATGCCAGGGTTCATTAGGCACATTCTCTGGAGATATTTACTTACTATGTGCACTATGAAGAATGTGGAATCAGCCTTTCTTCTAGAAAGTTTGGATAGCATTGTCATCCAAGGTTACCTCTTGGATAGATGTGAGGGAGTGCTTGATGAACAGGCAGTTGTAAAATTCATTCAGAAAATTTTCTCACACAATTTCTTTGAGCTAATTTGTTTGTATTCTTTCTACACCTTCTTTTTACAGAATCACATCAATCCAGCCATGGATTTTACTCAGACTCCTCCAGGGATGTTGGCATTGGACAACATGCTCTACTTGGCTAAATTTCATCAGGACACCTATATCAGGGTGAGTGAAGCTGCTGGTTTTTACAGATGCCAACAGCTCAGCAGGTCTTCTTAGTGTGTGTGGCACCTTCTTCTTGTAGATTGTTCTGGAGAACAGCAGTCGAGAAGATAAACACGAGTGTCCCTTTGGGCGCAGTGCCATTGAACTCACCAGGATGCTTTGTGAGATCTTGCAGGTTGGGGAACTCCGTGAGTACCATTTATTTCCCAGCTTTACAGATTGCTGGGCTGATGCTTCTGGAAGTAGCTTACAGGCTGACCAGTATTCACAAGCATTAGAACCTTGATCTCACATCTGTCCTGTAGGGACAGGGGCAGCTTGTTGGTGTCCCAGTGTCAAAATAAAGTAAGAAATTTGGTGTGCGTATTCTCTGGTTCTCCTGAAAAAGTGACACGAGCAGAAAGTTTCATCTTCCTAAGCTTCAGCAGGGTGCTGTATAAAAAAAATAGTCTAGAAACCATCATGAACTTGAGAGAAGTTTATTAGTGCTGACAATCTCAACACAGTATCCTAAGAAAATTAACCACTGTAAGAAATTCTGCCAGAGGAAAGTGGGAAATACTGCAAGCAGTCATTTTTGGGGACTAGGATGAAAAAGGCACATGAGTCACAGATAGTTGCTGTTCCCAATAAACTGTCTTAATCTCTTGGAGTAGGTACTGTTGTGCACCATCAGGTCTCTGTCTGTCACTGTAGTGGATTTCAGGTACGTTTTGTACAATATGCTCACGTGGCTGTGGTTTCTTTCTCTCTGAAGCCAATGAAGGCCGGAATGACTATCACCCCATGTTTTTCACCCACGACCGTGCGTTTGAGGAACTGTTTGCCATCTGCATCCAGCTGTTGAACAAGACCTGGAAAGAAATGAGGGCGACAGCAGAAGATTTTAATAAGGTCAGGGTGGTGAAGAGATATTCTTGTAAAATCTTTTGCAGATCAGCACGTGTTCACTCAGCTTGTACAATTCATTAAAGAGTAGGGCACAGAAGACTGGCCATACATACAGGGCACAGAAGATGTGAATGGGGCATTGATGTGGGCTGTAAGGGGGGATGGCTCAACTTATATTTGGTATGACCTGAGGTCATTTGTAGTTTTTCTTGATCTTCAAAGTCACTAGTGTGTTGATACTCCTGGCCCCACTTATCCCACGTCAGTTCTGTGTGCCCTGGTTCTATGATGCCAGTAAGCAGCAAGAATGTGACTTGCTCTTCTCCCTTCCCCACCTCTTTAGGTTATGCAGGTTGTGAGGGAACAGATCACACGGGCTCTCCCTTCTAAACCAAACTCCTTGGACCAGTTCAAGAGCAAGCTGCGCAGCCTGAGCTATTCAGAGATCCTGCGGCTACGCCAGTCTGAGAGAATGAGCCAAGATGACTTCCAGTCACCCCCTATTGTGTACGTGCCTGACAAAAACACTGCCTTCTGTGCTTGCTCTTATCTCCACTTTCTGCTTACTCTTCTGTATTTGATTGCCAGGGAGCTGAGGGAGAAAATCCAACCTGAGATCCTGGAGCTGATAAAGCAACAGCGCCTGAACAGGCTTTGTGAGGGAAGCAGCTTTCGAAAAATTGGAAATCGCAGAAGACAAGGTAAGGGGACAGTGTCTACTGCATTTTTCTCATGTGAAGAACTATAGCAAATAAGATCTAATGAACTAATCTGCCACCAGGCACGTTGCTGAAAGAGAGGCTGATTATCTGGGCTATCCGTATCAGCCAGTAGTTTGGGATGGCACAGATGTGCATTTCTAAGAATCCCTCATGAACAAGAAGCTGTGCTGAGGAGCTGGGGGAGCAGATGGATTGGGTGGAGAGGCTCTAATGTTAGTGGCTGAAAGGCTTCCTATGAATGATTTTGCTCAGCTTACTCTGCTTGGTGTGTGTTCCAGAAAGATTCTGGTATTGTCGCCTGGCTCTGAATCACAAGGTGCTACACTATGGAGATCTGGAAGATAATGCCCAGGGGGAAGTGACCTTTGAATCTCTACAGGAAAAAAGTAAGTCCTGATTACAGGCTGTGCACTGTTCTGTGCTCTGCTGTCTAGAGGCTGAGTATAATCCTAGATAAAGATGAAAGAGCTGTGGCTGAAACCCTGACTGAGGTGATACCAACTTTCAGTCCTTCCCAAATTCTTCAAGTCTTGGAATTGCTTGGTGTTTCTTTTTTAACAGCCAGCTGTTGGGATCTTACTGGTAATGTGTTTTGGAAAACTGCAGGAAGGAGCCAAAAAAACAAACAATGCTCAGTTTGCAAAGACAAAACAAAGTTCTGTCTCTTCCTGGTTAGGATTGCTTGTTTGGGAGTTTTACTTTTTCACTGTTAGTTCCAGTTGCAGACATCAAAGCCATTGTCACAGGGAAGGATTGTCCACACATGAAGGAGAAAAGTGCACTGAAACAGAACAAGGCAAGTGCTCCCTTTTTGCCTGTCATTAGTATCTATTTCTGTAGCACTGAAGTCTGAAAGAGAGGAACAGGAGCAAATGGTCTCCCCACAATGCAGATGTGTTGTTTCCAAACCCCATCTCCTATCTGGGCCTTTTCCTAGTATTCCTTTGTGACTACTGGGAGCTGTGGGCACTGTGTGGTTGTGCTATAGTCTATTCAGAATTGTTCACCAATGTGGGAAAGTGTACTGAGCTGCAGCAAGGCAGCTCCTCTCAGGTTGGCAGGCAGAAGGTGCTGTAATGTTTTGTTCAGTCGGTGACTGAAAGATTCTTTTCCATTCAGGAAGTGTTAGAATTGGCCTTCTCCATATTATACGATCCCGATGAGACCCTGAACTTCATTGCACCTAATAAATACGAGGTAAGAAACACAGTGATCAAGCAGTAGAATATATAGCAATTAGCTTCAGAGATTAAGAAGAATCAGTTGCTTCTCATTAAAGACTTGAACAGGCTGTCTCCCACCAGGTTCATTCTTAGAATGTTGGCGATGCTTAATGTGAATCATTTTTTTGTAGTTATTTTTTTCATTTAAAAAGAAAAAAACAATCTCACATTAATTTCCCCTAGTCTTCACTACTGCTTTCTTTCTTCCTATGATGCCTAGAATAGGTTTGCTTTTTCTTGTGTTATGCCACAACAGAAACTCTCGGCCCTCTCCTACAGCCATGAGGTCACACTTAATCTCTAGGTTTGTAACTTCCACTGGAAATCTGTGGGCCCTGTTTTGGGGTTGGATATGGGGGGTTTTTTCCTATTTTGAAGCTATATAGGAGCATCTCTAATTGTTGCATGGATGGAAAGGTTCAACATAACCTCTCATTTATGCCCTCATGGAGTCGTGAATTCCCCTTTCTTTTCCACAGTACTGTATCTGGATTGATGGGCTTAACGCTCTCTTGGGGAAGGACATGTCCAGCGAGCTGACCAAGAGCGACCTGGACACGCTGCTGAGCATGGAAATGAAGCTGAGGCTCCTGGACTTGGAGAACATCCAGATCCCCGAAGCGCCGCCGCCGATCCCCAAGGAGCCGAGCAGCTACGACTTCGTGTACCACTACGGCTGAGGCACCGCCCGGGCCGCGCTCGGAACCGGGACCCGGGGGCGCCCGGGGCGGGGGACCCGGCGCCGCCCGCCTTTTGTATCGGTTCAATAATAACCAGTAGCGCTCCGAGCCGCCGCCGCCTCCTCCGCCTCTTTCCGCCCTGCGCGGAGCGTCACCGCGGCGCGCCCGCCCCGCTCGGGCCCCGGCTCGTCCGCCCGCCCCGCCCGGCAACGTCAGCGGCGGCCCCGCTTCCCCGCCGGCACGGCCCGCTCGGCATCGCCGCCCCCTGCCCTGCCCTGCCCTGCCCTGCGCTGCCCCGCCGCCGCCGACCCCTCACCGGCATCCCCCATCCTCCCCATCCCCGCTCCTTCCTCCTCCTCCTCCTGCCCGTCCCTCCCGGCGCGGTGCCGGGCGCATGGCGGCGGGGGCGGGCGGCGCGGCCCTGGGGCGGGCGGCGCTGGCGGCGCCGCTGGTGCTGCTCTACTACGGCTTCTCCATCGGCATCACCTTCTACAACAAGTGGCTGATGAAGGTGCCGTGGGGGTGGCGGGGCGGGCGGCGCGGGGCGGCGGCGGCGGGAGGGCGGCGGTGACAGCGGCTCTCGGTCCCGCAGAGCTTCCCGTTCCCGCTGCTCGTCACTCTGCTGCACCTGCTGCTCATCTTCGCTCTGGCGGCGCTCGCCCGAGCCCTGGCGCGGTGCCGCTCCGGCCGCCCGCGGGCAGCGCTGTCCTGGGCCGACTGTCTGCGCCGGGCGGCCCCCGCAGGTACGGATGGAGGGGAGGGGAAGGGGGCCGGGGGCGATGAGTTTTGGGCACACCACAATATTAAAAAAAAAAAAAAGGCGTTAAGCTGTTGGAGAGCGTCCAGAGGAGGGCCACGAGGATGGTGAAAGGTCTGGGATTAAGGTTTATGAGGAGCAGCTGAGGGCACTTGGCTTGTTCAGCCTGGAGAAGTGGAGATTGAGGAGAGACCTCATTGTGGTCTTCAACATTCTCATGAAGGGAAGCAGAGGGGCAAGTACCGATCTCTTCACTCTCATGACCAGCGACAGGACTCAATGAAACAGCATGGAGCTGAGTAAAGGGAGGTTTAGGTTGGATATCAGCAAAAGGCTTTTCACCCAGAGGGTGGTTGGGTACTACAACAGGCTAACAAGGGAAGTGGTCACAGCCCCAAGCCTGTCTGAGTTCAAGAAGCATTTGGACAATGCTCTCAGGCACATGGTGTGACTCTTGCGGTGTCCTGTGCAGGGCCAGGAGTTGGACTCTGATCCTAATGGATCCCTTCCAACTCAGCATATTCCAAGCGGCTGCTCAGGGTTTCCCGCTGCACTCTGACCACTTCTGGAGCCATTTGTTTTCCTGGGATGGTCAGGGCCAGTCCCCTGGTACAGGGTGAGCCGGGGGGTGCAGCTGTCTCTCCAGGCTCTGTGTTTCCCTACCAGGCGCAGGGCAGGTGTAGGTGCTACCTGGAGCTTTAGCTTGAGGTGTGCTACCTTCATTGCTCATTACAAAGAAGTGTTAGTGCAGGGAGAGGCCACACAGAACGTATCTTTGTGAAGGAGCCACTGGCACATGAGAGCAAATAATGAGAATCTTCTACAATACCTCAGTAAGTTGTTTCTGCAAGTAACATTTTCTCTTTAACATTGGTATCAAGCCGTGCATTTATGTTATTTCAGCAGCTTTCTCAGGTTAGAGCCTGATAGAGAAGTTCATCATATGTGGCACACAGAACTGTAGCTGAGACCAAGGAGTGAAGCTCCTACTCAGAGCACAGAACTGTAACTACTTCTGCAGTTCTTTGGCTGTATGTTATGTTGGCTCCCACAGAACAGCATCTGGTCTAAGATCTCTGGCAAGGTTTGCAATGCCTTACATAAAATGCCCCATGGTTTCTTGAAAAATGCTTTCTCCACGTCTGCAGCAATATTACCTTTCAGCACAGCCTGCCCCTGGATCAGCAAAACTGTTTCCTGTGGTAGGAAACTTATGTACAAGGGATTATAGACTGTAACAAATGCTGCACCCAGAGTTAAGAGTGTGTGCTAAGGATTGTTGCTTCTTCAGGCTTCTTGCAGTGGCCCTCAGACTTACCAGTTACCACGTTCTGATACATTCAAAAAAGACTTTATGCAAATCTGTGATGGCTTTCAGTCACAGGGAGGGCAAGAGTGCAGTGCTGAGCCCAACGTAAATCACAGGGAGCAAAACAGAAACATAAAGAGCTGAGAATATCTGAGCTATGTTGGTACTGAAGAGTTAACATGAAGAAAACTCTTTTTTCCCCCCTGGTTCTGCTCTGATCTCTGTGTTTTTGGTCAAGTAGCAGGGTTTTGTGGTGGGTTGTTTTAGGTAGTGGATGACAGTTAACATCAGGATTTTTTCATTGATTCTTTAGCTCTGTCAACTTCCTTGGATATTGGGCTGAGTAACTGGAGCTTCCTGTATGTCACTGTCTCCCTGTGAGTACAAACATCACCTTGCCTGGGTGGGGTTTGAAAAGTGCTTTGTCAGGCTCTGTTTCTTGAATAGGTATTTGACTCGGTGGGGTCAGCACACAGGGTCTGTGATAGCTTGTTGGTAGCAATGTAGAAGTGGGTGATTGGTTTCTAATAGTATTTTGATGGGAAAGACTACACTGGAGGGGACTGACAGTGTATTTTGGTTCTTACAGCTACACGATGACCAAATCCTCTGCTATTCTCTTCATCCTGCTTTTTTCACTGCTCTTCAAGCTGGAGGAAATGGTAAGGGTGCCACACAATGCTTTATGAAGGGAGAAGGTCAGGCCCGGGGAAATAGGCAGTACATGCACAGGAAACATGTAAGTAGAGGGAGAATGCAGTTATGTGGATGAATCTGAAAAGCAAGAGGTTGTGTGTCTCTGTTGTGTTTGATCTCACGCAGAGAGTGACGTTGCTCCTGGTGGTTCTGCTCATTGCTGGGGGACTCTTCATGTTCACCTACAAGTCCACCCAGTTCAACGCACAGGGGTTCATCCTGGTGCTCTGTGCCTCTTTCCTTGGGGGCATCCGCTGGACTCTCACACAGATACTTATGCAGAAGGCTGAGCTGGGTACGTAGGGTGTTAGGAAAGGGGGTGGTGGTGCTGGTAATGGGGAGGGGAATAAGGAGGTGGTAGCCCTCGCTGCAGAAACAAAACATCCCCTGTAAGGGAAGGTGTTTGAAACCTGGGGCAGGGGTTATCTGTTGATGGGTGATGAAGGTGGCTTGGTATCTGCAGCAGCACAGGTGTGGGCATCACAAACAAGGTGTGTGTCTAGGAATGGTGCTAATAAAGGCTCTGGGAGCTATTTTATTCCCTGGCTTGTTGCTACCTGGTCTGTTATTGATTCTCCTCTTTCAGGGCTCCAGAATCCCATTGATATCATGTTTCACCTGCAGCCGCTCATGTTCCTGGGGCTCTTCCCACTCTTTGCGGTGTTTGAGGGTGCGTGAGTTAATTAGAGAAAGCAGGGATAGCTTTATAGAGTGGTTGGGGAGACTGCTTAGCAGTTTGGTGTTTTGAGATGATTCATTTAGATAAGTCAACAGCTGTGAACTTTACAAAGCAGTTAGAGATCTGGAATTACCTTATGCTGGCAAATCATTAAAGAGTGCGTAGGAATAGTAGCCTGCCACACTTGTGGAAATAAGGGCTGTGAAGAACTGGCTCCACATCCTCCTGATACTGGAATGTGAGCAGCCCACCCCCATCCATCTTGTTGAAAGGAATCCTGGGAGTTGGGAAAGGTATTCTGCTACTCACTGTCTTGTTCCTAGGCCTGCCTTTGTCCATATCAGAGAAGCTCTTCCGTTTCCATGAAGCAGGAATGCTGTTCTCTCTGGTAGGGAAGCTGTTCTTGGGTGGAATTCTTGCCTTTGGTCTAGGCTTTTCTGAGTTCCTCTTGGTTTCCAGAACATCTAGCCTCACCCTTTCCATTGCTGGCATTTTTAAGGTAAGGCATGGTTCCTGTGCTAATACTAGAAGGCAAGTACTGAGTCATCCCTATTGGGCCTTATGTGATGGGAACTTCCTTTAGATCCTTAGAAATCATTGTTATTTTTGTTCTCCTCGCACAGGAGCTCGATGCTTTGCCTTTCAGTCTCTGCAGTGAAGTCCCTGGCAGCAAAGGGCCAGAGACTAGTGGCTGTTCTATAAAAAATACCATTAGTGACCAAAGTCTCTTGTGATGTGGGATAGACTAAAACATGTGGGCCTCATGAGCAGTGGCTGGTGCGGAAGGGAGGAGGGGTGAGAAGGGCAAGCTCTTGCATCAGACCTGTATGTGAACAAACCATTGGTTTGAGCTGTCTCTGTAATCTAGTTTGGCACATCCTCCCCTCCTGCTAGGAGTCCAGCACACATACTTTTGAGCTGAACTCTGACATGTGAAATCTGTCTGGTCCAGAAGTTGGAAGATTCCTCTGTAACCAAGCTATGCAGTCAGATGACTTAAAATCCCACATCCCAGTTTGACAGGTTGTTTGTTCCCAAAAACTGTTTTTAGAACTCCGTGCGCATGAAAGAATGTGCTGATGGAAATTTAGCAGCCTGGCATCTTGATCTGGGCTGCAGCTGTAAAACATCTCGTGCATATCTCCTCAGGTCCTGCCCTGCCACTTGTCATGTTTTTCTGTTTCCACAGGAAATCTGCATTTTATTCCTCGCCACACATTTGCTGGGAGACCGCCTCAGTCTCTTGAACTGGCTGGGCTTTGCTGTCTGCCTGTCAGGAATCTCCCTTCATGTCGTTCTCAAAGCCGTGAATTCCAAAGGTCATTGTTTTAAATGGCATTGTGTTTCTTTGTGGGCTTTCTCGTAGCTTCACTTGGAGCTGTGTCTGGTCCCAGCTCCTTTGCCAGCGCCAGGTTTGGTGTGTGCTCCAAGTTTGTCACTAAACAGGCTGTCTGCACACAGGTGACAAAACACTGGAGCCACACAAAGATGCCAGCTCTGACCCTGACCTGGAGCTGCTGCTGCACCACACTGAACATGGGGACAAGGAGGAAGAGGATGTTGAAACCCCACAACAATGACTGAACGTGAAGCACAAAGTCTCTTGCTCTGTTCTTACCAAACCTGCCTGATATCTATCTAGGAGGAAAGTCCAAAAGTCTCTGTGACCACCCAAAGGAGAGCCAGGGCCTAGTGAGAGAATTCTGCTGCTCTGCTACAGTGTGAATCTGTAAATGCTGCACAAGAAACAGGCAAAATTCCTTTCACAGGAACTTTGAAGACAAGCCCTGGTTCAGTGGACGTGGAACAGCCCATGAGACACAGAAATGCTCCAGCAAGTCTGTTAGGGGATCCTGAAGGCTGAATACTGAGAGTGTAGACCATGGGCTGTAGAATGAGTGTGGACATACCTGGACTGCAGGCTGAGTGGTTCAGGGATGATTTTACTGTTTTAGGCTTTGGCTTCAAAAGAGAAGGTAGATATACCTTCCCCCCCCTTTTTTTTTAAATGTTTCTACAAAGTAGGAACTTCCATCCTGGTGGGAGCAGATGACTGTATAAATCCTTAGAGTTGTCCCAGTGAGAAGGACCCTTTGTGCCTGGTGACCTCCATGTTCTGTGTGCATAGTAAGGAGAGAATTAAATGCTGGTATTTGGGACCAATTGAACCTGCCAAGTGATGTTGGTTGGAGGCAGGATGGGGATGCAGGAGTACCTCTGGTGCTACAGGCCAAGGGGAGAGAGAGCTGTGTCACAGGAGGCCTAACTTGAGCAATAAGTTTATCAGAAAGTATGTGGGGTTTTGAGAGGGGGATTTTTTGTTTTTTAAATAAACTGTTTTTCTGATTCCCTTTTGTCTGTGCACTATGTACCTACGTTTCATGAAGCAGAGGTCATTTGTCTTCTGAACTCCTTTCCTTTTAGAGCTTCACTGACCTTGCTGCTGCATGCCAAATTGTTTCTGAGGCCTGGCAAACAAAACACTTGCCCATGAATAGGATCATTGATCTCTAGAACTAAAACTTCCTGCAGCCTCATATTTATGCCAGCCAAGTGAGCATACTGACTTGTCTGCCTTCATGTATCCTAGGAAGACTTTTAATATTATGGCTTTTGTAAGAATCTTCCTTCTTTGCCACGCTGGATTGGATCAGTTAATGCTGCAGCCTTGTCCAGGAAAGAGGGGTAGTGCAGGATTTGAGATGGCTCTTTTTCCTTTCTGCTAACCCTCAAGTGACGTTGGGCGGGTGGCTGGTTTTTTGCGTGGCGGAATTTTCGCGTCTTTGAAAGTTTTGTTCAGTGCTAACTTTTGTAGTTTTTGGAGTGGAAATAACTTAAGAGAGCTCCCCCAAGGGATAACAGTGTGATCTTTCTCCTGACAGGAGCTGGGTATTAAAGGGAACTCCTCGTATTCTGTTTGAGACCTGAACCATTTTGACTAGGCTGTCCCTCTGTAATCTTGCTTCATAGTTTTCAGATATGAACTCTTGATGACTTTAATCAAGAGCATGTCCTGCAAAAAAAAAAAAAAAAAAAACCGGTTCTGAAGAAGAAAAGTTTTGTTATTAGTGATCATCTTTGATGATGTTCTGGTAACTGACTCCAGAGCAGACAGCAGGTGGTGCAGCTTCCTCATGTAAAGCTACTGAACCAGCACTTCCATGCCAGGTTGGCAACACCAAGGTATTCTGTGCATCAAGTGGAATGCCTGGAGCTGAGAATGGCTTGGTGTGTCTCTAGCTGGATTTTCCAGTAGCTGGGACTTGTGATGCTTCCAGCAGGATTCACCCTGTTTATCCCACCAATAGGTGTGAGCCCCAAGCATGAAATACTCTACTTGTTGTGGGGCAGTGGTGCTTTCTGCATGTGATCTGTGTTCAGCCATATCACAGCTGCTTTTTGCAGTTCCCCTTCTACTCTCCTAGAACTGAACCCCAGGCATTCTTCTAGTGTAGAAGGATGGGGTAGAATCTCGGGCTGGGATTTCAGGTCCCTATAAATGCCACAGTAAAGGCAACTTTGTTCCCAAGCCAGAGTTTGCACCAGGTACGGTGCTTGAAGATGAAATCTGACTGTGCTTGTGAACTGTAGAGCCCTGTAGTCTCTTTGCTTCCAATCTCGTTTCCTTTTTAAGACAGAGGTGATGCCCTAGAACTGCAGCTCTGTCCTGGAGCTCTTGGAGCAAATCTTGATTGCCTGTAGCGAGGTGCACCTGACCTTGCAGGCTCAACTAGTGCAAGCAGCAGGTTTAGTGTAGATCAGTGAGCAACATAAAAAGGCTGTGGCAGGGGTCCACGTGGGAACTGGCAGGAAGGGGTAAAAGCTTTGAGATTCTTTGGGAAAATGGCAGTGTTCCTCTCTAGGCAACTCCAGTGGGGCATGGTGTGGGGCTCCTTTCTGTCCATATGTTGCCTGGCTCCTCTCCCAGAACCCTCAAGGGCTGATGAGGTGGGTCCTATGTGAGAGGTCACTATCTTCCTGCTGGAGTCAGTTCTTGGAAAAGGTAAGGAGGCCTCATCCTCACACTTGCTGTAGTCCTGCCTCCAAGCTGAGTCACTCTACACCTGGATGTGGTCTTGCTTGGCAGCAGTGCTGGGTGACTTCTAGAGAACATGGCAGAGTTGTTGGTAAGCTTGGGAGGGGTTGGGTGGGACTGTGCTGGTGCAGGGCAGTGCAGCAGTGTTAGAGCAGCAGCACAGCTCGTCTGTTGGATACTGTCCATCTTGCTTGAGTGGGCACTAACGTTTAATGAAAGGAAGAAGGAACCCCTGTCCACCCTCTTTTGTCTAAAGAAAAACATCTACTGTGCATTGAAAATGTCAAAAATGGAAAAACAGGCAAAGATGAAGGACTTGAAAGAGAAGGCAGGAGTGCTGCAGAAATCACACAAAGAAAATGAGAAGGCACAGTCTTGTAGTTGATAGTGTTGAAGTGCAGACTGTAGGCATGAAGAGGTAGGGTTGGAATCTGCTGAGGAGACAGGACAGAAGTACAGGGGATGGTAGTGGGAGCTGGGAGTACCAGTAGATTCTGTTTGCCCCTGGAAATAGCCCTGGGTGGCTTTGCAGCTCCTTGGCCAGAGGTAGTCAAGGCTTCTTGGTGTTGCTGAAGCTGTGTGGGGCTTGGATTGATGCAGTGGGCTTGGGACTGGAAACACTGGGGAAACCTAATTGTGTGTGCAGGCACAGGGCCATGTCTCCTGCCCTTAAAAGATCTCTTTGTGCCACACTGTGGTCTCTGTGGCCATCTGAGAGGGGTGGTGAAGCTCACGGGTCATGCAGACCATTTTCTGGCAAGCCCTGAGTCAGGAGCCACTTTAGGGGGTGGGAGAAGTCCTTTTCTGTACAGACAATCATTGTGTGCCACAGTTTTTGGTTCTGCCCCCCCCTTTCATCAAGGGAGGTGTGTGAAGGCTGAATGTTCTGGGCTGTTCTGGAGCCCTACAGTGCTGGGGAGGGCACACACGTGTTTGTGCTGCCCAGACCTTCCCTGTCTGTGCCAGCCCACGCACTGACACACAGCCATACCCAGGGAGTGCGGGGCTGCCACTGAATATTGATGGTGTTTGAACTCATTAACCAGCGGAAGCAAAGCTGAACGAGTCTCAGAGGTGCTGCTCTCCTTCCGCAAACTCTGTTCCTGCCTGTAGGACCAGGTGTTTACATGTGTGATGATTCTGCCTCTATACCCATTCTCCTGGGAGGCCTCGTTATTTGAAGAACAGATGCTTGGCTTCCTGCTAAAATTTCAATACCATAAACATCCTGAGGGCAAGGAGAAAGTGTCCCTGCAGACCCCTCTGCACTCCTCTGGTTCTCTGCCCAGCAAACAAGGTATGTAACATCAGCAAGTTACTGTGGGGAAGCCAGGCTATTTCCCAAACACACAGGAGTAGCCAGGCAGAGCAGCAACACGGGGCCTGGTGCCCAGCAGTAGGGCTGCCTCAAGATGTGCTTCATTTCTTGTGTCAGCTGAACATCTCAGTAGTTTGTATTATGAGGTTTGTGGTTGGTGCCTTGTGAGGTGGGGAAAGGGGAGCTTGGGTGCAGATGGGTAGAAGGCTGGTTACCACCAGCCTGGGGCTGTAAAGGGGCTCACATTCATCTGCAATCTTTGCAGTGGCAAATAATTGCCCCTGACTCCATATCCCTGCATCTGCACTGAGGCTCTTCTTTTTTTCATCATTGTGGTATGCAGATTTTCATGTTCACAGCCTTGCATCTATGCAGGTTTTTTCTGGGAATTGCACCTACCGTTGTCTTCTCCCCATCACTGTGACACTTCCATCAGCCACCTTCCACACTGCCACATGACCCCTAGAAAGGCAATGAAAGGAGAGGGGTTTGAGCAGAGGAGAGGGGAAAAGGCAGCTGGCCAAGAAGGGTGGAGAAACAGCAGAAAACAAGAAAAGTGAATGGTTGGAGATCTCCATCACAGAATGACTGAGGTTGGAAGGGACCTCTGAGGTCATCTTGTCCCTGCTCAAGCAGGGCCACCCAGAGCTGCTGCCCAGGAACGTGTCCAGATGGCTTTGAATTTCTCCAAGGATGGAGACTCCACAACCTCTCTGGGCACCCTGTGCCAGGGCTCGGTCACCCTCATGGGGAAAAGGTGGTTCCTGGTGTTCAGAGGGAATGTCCTGTGTTTCAGTTTGTGCCTGTTGCCCCTGGTCCTGTCCCTGGGCACCACTGAAAAGAGCCTGGTTTCATCCTCTTTCCACCCTCCTGGCAGGTATTTATATACATTGACAAGTCTTCTCTTCTTCAGGCTGAACAGTCCCAGCTCTGTCAGCCTTTCCCTGTGTGTGAGGTGCTCCCAGGCCCTTCATAATCTTCGTGGCCCTTTGCTGGTCTCTCTCTCCAGCATGTCCATGTCTCTTGTAGTGGTGATCCCAGCTCTGGGCACAGCACTCCAGCTGTGCCCTCACCAGTGCTGAATACAGGAAAGGATCATCTCCCTTGACCTGCTGGCAATTCTTTACCTCATGCACCCCAGGAAATCACTCCCTTCTTTGTGGCAAGGGCAGGTCGTTTGCTCACTTGAAGATGCAGGTATGCAGCCAGAGGGCAAGAACTTGCCCAGTCTAACACTGCAAGAGGGTTTGCTGGAGCAGAGAGCTGTCCTACAAGACCCACACTAGCATAAGTAGCCCTTCCATCTCATTTTGTCCTCTCCAGCCTTGCAGAGCTGGGTAATTGCTTTATCTATCAGAGCTCTTTGCATTAACAGGCGGTAATTGGCACCTGTGTTAAAGAACCTGGTTTCAATTACTGCTGAATGCAGCTCAAACTCCAGAGCTGGGAGATTACATGGGGGAGGAGCCGTAGTGCTCACGTTTACTCTCTGTCTTTCCACCAGGTGCTCCTCTTTCCCCAGGGATGAAGCTTTTTTTTTTTTTTTTTTTTTTTTTTTTTTTTTTTTTTTTTTTTTTTTCATTTCTTTCTTGTGCCTTGAATCTGCAAAGCAACCAGCAAGGGCTGCCCAGAAAGCGTGGGGCTGTGGCTCTCGGGAGCTCAGCGCGGGCGTGGCTGGCACACTGCTCCTCTCCCTTCTTCCCTGTGTCGATGTTTCTTATAGAAGCCTTTACTGCAAATCCAAACTGAACGGTGGGGCAGCAAGGTATGGGAGGGAATTGGTCTTTGTAGATAGTGGTGTTCCCCCACCCGCAATCCTGGGGGCTTTCCCGGTCTCTCCCCTCGGCTGTATGTCTCTCTTTTTGGCTTCCACTGCATCAGCTCTTCCCCAGTATGCTGGGCCCAGCCCCCTCCTGCTGCCATTCATCATTTCTGATCCAGTAAATTACAGCACCGTAAAAGTGCACAGGGAATTGTCTTCTGTGTTTCAGAG